AGTTGCTCTTATAATATAGATGTTAGGTAATGTTACTTTCAGCTGCCTAGGTTAGACTGTTTCTCTTATAAAATAGATGTTAGGTAATGTTACTTTCAGCTGCCTAGGTTAGACTGTTTCTCTTATAATATAGATGTTAGGTAATGTTACTTTCAGTTGCCTAGGTTAGACTGTTTCTCTTATAATATAAAATAAAATAAAAGGCTTTTACTTTAACATATAATACAACATATAATGAGTCAATAGATTTAAGGGATTTTTGTTTACAGAAAACAAAAATAAAAGAAGGAGTAAAGCAAATAAATAACAGATCGTAGAAAGCGTTCTTTATATAGAAAATTCTCTTTAAATTTGAAACTGTAATAAGAACGGAACTTTTATATCTGAATTTTCAGGCATCAACTATTCACATACAATCAGTTACAAGTAACATATGCGCAGGGTAATGAAGGAGGCTTGTTCCCTTCACTTTTTTTAATCGAAAAGGGGGATTGTGCCCTTCAAATTTTATCAGCAATGGTATATTTTTTATTATAGGCTAAATTACTTACCATATACACTACGACCCAGCAGAAAGCAACACTATAAACATATGGAGGCATCATGTACGGTTTATTTTGCAGAACAGATAGTAGGCATCGTCCCCTTCTTGCCTCCCCAGTGGCACAGCGGAATGTCTACGGACTTACAACGCTAAAAACCGGGTTTCGATACCCGTGGTGGGCAGAGCACAGATAGCCCTTTGTATAGCTTTGTGCTTAACTACAAGCAAACAAACAAACCCCTGCTTCTTTGAAACCTAAGTTACTTCTTCATTAAGGTGAGTTAGTAACGTTATGCTAACTACTATTTTTTATCTTACGGTCACATTATAGTCTGTTATTAAAAACATTTATACACATTTACACAGTGAGATCTAAAAAATGTTAAACATTTTCATCACTTTAATTTAAATATTTTAAAGTCTCGTATTTGTTTATAACTTTTTTGGTAAACATTTTTAAAAACTCTTGCGTTAATCAAAATTAAATGATCTTCTAATTAAATCGGAACTAATTATCTAAAATTGTTTCGGTTTATTAAGAAAGACAGGTTCTTAATTAAAGAGGTAGTGTAATTAAGCTATGTATCAAATATCATCGCTAATCTATCTTCGTAAAGTTTGAACATGACAGAAACGCAACTCACATCGTTTGCTTTCTTTTCCTCCGTAGTTTTGTAGTAGTTTCACCATTGGAACACAGTTGGTCATCACTGCGATATCCAGTGTGCTAAAACCGTCTCCATTGATGCTAACAAATGAAATCTGATTTAAGTTTTGATTGAATAAACAGGCCAATAATGTTTTGTATTCAAACTTTGGATGATTTTTACGTCACAAATTTCTGGATTCTTATTTTACGCAAAGTTTTGGAAAGTTTCTTTACTAATGGTATACGAAAATGTCGTTAAAACCTGAAACTAAATAGTTATTGGATTAAAATGAATCTATTTGATCTTAAAACTCAGGTTGGGGATTCCTTGGAATTCAGAGAGGACATTTCCATGAATTGCATCATGAATCATGACAAGACTTGTTTTCCCACCAGGGGATTTCGTCCTTATGAAATTAGCTGAGCCCACTTCACCTGTTACTTCACTTTTTACTAAATTTTGAGGAGGAATTTTTCAGTATTCAGCTTTTTTTAATATTGTTTCTTGTGATGAAAGATTAGAGGAAGTGTAGGTTGTAATAATTAACTCATTTCTATACTTTTGAAACTATAATACGCTTGTTATAAACTCTAGATCCATAAATGCGTAATGTGGTCTAGATAAACAATATAGTATTTAACATCGCTAGGAGCTGGTCAAAAACAATTTCTTGAAGTGAATTCAGGTAAAGCTGTTTTATTTCCCGTTGCAAAAACAACATATAAATATTATCAGTAGATGTAACAAAACCTGTAATATACTTTAAATAGGTACTTGAATTAATAGTAAAATTGACAGAAATGAAAGAACCGTTGTTCGCTTAAGATTTATAAAAGTTATTTAAGTTCTATAAATTTGTAAAATGGAGTTTAAAATGATCTAATAACGAATTTGTTGTACCTATAGACAAATCGTCATAATGCCCAATATATACAAAAATATCATAAATCTTGTACATATATTGCGAACCGTGGTGTCTGTCTCCCGTTTGAAAAGCTGCGCCCGCAGGTAAAGCTCAACATTCACTTTTCAAATGACGGGAGAACATGCATGAATAATGTTGATGCTAAATTCTATTTCGCAAGCAGGATATTATAGACTAAATTGTTAGTCACACTATCATTCACATTTCAAAACGTGACGTAACTTAAAGAATAAAAATGTAGATTTACCATATTGTTGAGCGGCTCTTAGCATGACTGAAACGTTCAACAATTACTTTCCGCGGTGGGCGGTATAAGTAGCACAGAGCTTTGGCTGTGAGTGAAACCAAGAGTGCAACACGATTAATGTTATTAAAGTCCATGAATAATTTATTTTGATAGATGAACTTAAAACTTTTTCCGTCACTGGGGACGGGTACTTTTTCTTCTAAGTTATATTACAATAGTATAAGAAATAAATATTTCGAATCAGACATTCAACAAAGACAAGTAGAGTTCTTAGAAATAGTTCCTGAAAATCAAACCAGATGTATAGATACAAATAAGTATTTCAATATAATAGTTTCGTTTAAGTGAACCCTGGACTCCACATTTTGATTTTTATAACCTTAAAACACATTGTAGCAGCAAATGTTACAGGGTGGTTAGAATTTATATATTTACAGGGTTGCTAGAATTTATATATTCCAATAGAAAATAATGATATCCAACTTTATTATTTTAACTTTTTAACGCCATTTTTAGTGCAGCTTTTTTTTAATCGTAGTACAGACACAAATGGTAAAGTCTTCCAAACATCTTGGCTTCAAGCTTTTGTCGACATTGTTCCAGAGTAAACTCTTTCAGTAACAACGAAAATAGTTATTTCTCCTTCAAAATGTTTTTTTAAATATTTTATACTCTTATCTATTGCTTTAATTATTAAGGAAGTTCACAATTTCACCAACATCGTAAACTAAAAATTAAATAGTTGAAATTTACTCCTTACACACCACAAACGATGGCACCATAGATGATTCCTTTTTCTTTATCAAAGTGAAATCTAGCGACTAACTCTTTCTTACACGTAACAAGATATGCCAATCTTCTTACTGACAAACCCCCAAGTAAGTCAAGCTCGGAATTAGAAAATTAAGACGTCCAAATAATTGATGGGTAAGGGGGATTAAATTCTTGGAGAATGAACAAAGTTAATGAAAATGTTAGCAAGAACCAATTGCGAAGCTAGGGTGCCCTCGTTACTATCCAAGTTGTGACACATATTATATGTTATACGAAATCCAATTTTAGTTTCCCACTGAATCTTTAACATCTTTTATTTGTGATAACACAGATCCTTGTGTATTTTAGCTCCTATAAGTTGTTTCACTATAGTTAAAAATACTTGTATAAAGAAATCTTTCGGTAACCAATTACACCTTTTGATCAGTGTTTTAAACTTGAATAAGTTACAAGTAACTTCTCCAGACTGGGGAAGCAAAATCTCACATACGACACGCGAATGAAAACAGACAGGTATCGTATTTTAGACAATTCTATATATACATACATATATATGTGGACAGCCTGGAAGAGGTAATCGTTTTTTTATCACATATATAACAATAAACATTGGCCAACTTACCTGTTGACGTCAACATCGGTTGTTTCCAATATACTGCGGGCACGCTCCACGTGCTCATGTTCAACGGCAACAAATAAACCTATAGGGGATTCACGAGAAGGGGGATTAGAATGAGCAAGGAAGTTGTACTACTTAGACACAGATGTAAGCAGTTTTGTGTATTAGAACCTTGTGATTCCATTCTAACTGTGTATAAACAGCCAGTGTGAATAACTATCTATTCTATGTGTTTGTGAACATGCTGACGTCACACACAAATATATGTTCTATGTACTTGTTTAGTAGACCTAAATTGCATAAAAATGAAATGCGTTGCATGGTGCCTATTTATTTAATAAGTATCGCTTCTGGGTGAAGTAATTTGAAATATTATAAAATTTGCTACAAAACTGAAAATGTGTCTGTTGTTAAAAAATAAAACTACACATACATGGAATTTTTATTATGAAAGTCCATTTTTTAACTCTTATCGTTATACCAGTAGACGTTATTGTTAAAGCTAGCTAATTTAGATATCACTGAATGACCAACAGAAGGCTTTCATAATAATCATAGCAAGAAAGTAAATCTGAAAACAAAGTGTGTTTTATGTGACAGAGTCTATGAACAGGAGACTGCAGTGTACAATTTTAAAAAATAGATTATCTAGTTACTTAAAATGGAAAAAAATAAGGGAAACAAAGGCAGAAAATCATTAAGAGGTAATTAAAAGGTAACTTAAATATGCAATCAATTGATCAAGACCAGAGGAGTGGAGTAAGTTCATGGCAGATAGGCCAAAACCCGTTAATTAAGCTAAGTTAGTAATATGTAGGTTAATGTATATTGAGTAACTTGTGTATGCCAATGTCCAGTTCTTTATTGAACATGTAATCTACGATAGATAAAGGAAACTATTAGTGTTCTGTAAGTTATACGCTGTTCTTTCTTTAAAGTTATTTTCATTAACAATATTGTATAGGATGTTTAATATATCTATTCTTATTACTTGTGATTGTTAGTATTATATTTTCATAAAGATTAGTTTGCTTTCTTAACTAATTATATGGAATTAGGGCTAGCATAGGATAGCCAAACCTTGTGAAATATTATTGAGCAATGCATTCTAATAATTATAGGTAAGAAGGTAAGAACAATATACATTGTTTTATAGTTCTGATTTATTTATGTAGTTTGTTCTAAATTCGCAATAAATAACTTGAATCCAGAACAGACAGTCCAATGTTTCACAAGTACCCTAAGCTTACACACTCTAGAAAGCAGCTTTAGTCCGTAATAGATAGACTATGAAATATAATGTGCTTAAATTAGGCCGAATCAAAGTGAGAGAAAAAAATGCTAGACTGTGTTTCTGAAAGGTAAACTTCTGAAATAGAGTGAGATTTAAACACAGTTTCTGACATAGTTCCTTATAAAGTGAATTATCAGATGTTGTGAGGAAAGGAAATCCACTCTACACTTTAAATAAAAGTCAATAAATACAGCTTTTGAGTGGATATTTTATTTTTGTTTAATTTTATTACAACGTTTCGACCGCTCGTGTACAGTTACTTGATGATGGCCACACGAGTAGTCGAAACGTTGTAATAAAGTTAAATAAACATAAAATATCCATCCATTCAAAAGCTGCATCTGTGGACTTTTATTAAATTAACTGCTTTCGAGCACTATAATATTTTAAAAGCTTCAGTTAGTTGTTCCTATCTAAATAGCACTTGCTAAACATGAAAAGTAGCGTATCTTTCTTCACTGAATTGATTATACATGTGGAATATAAATTATGTCTATATGTAATGCTAATCAAAACTTCGGGAGTTTACCTAAGTCAACCATATATTAACCCTCAAAGAATGAACAGCACTAATTAGTGGAATTAACTGCAGCATTGCATCTTTATTTATTTATTTTGTAGCGTAATTTGTACGTATTTATGACCACATAACTAATAAAGTAATGGATCCAGAAGCAATTATATATATATCTTAATAAGCATATGTGTTTTAAAACTCCAGTGGTGTCCGGGGACTAGCTGACTGTTTAAAGCCTAAAGAAGAGAAATTATTCTAATAAATATCTGATCCACCCAGACTGACAAAAGCATAGAAATAATTAGTTTCAAAAGCAATGTGCAGCACTACGCCCCCAAAAACCTCGCAAATTTAAAAATATTTCCCTAAGACTGAAAAAGTCGTGGGTAATAACCTATGAGCACAGCCATGATAAATGGATTAGCACAGAAGATAATCAGCACAGCTCTTTCTTTAATATACTTTTACCACATCAAAAAAAGTCAAAGTTCTTAAACAAATTACTTTGAAGAAATAAAACCGACATACTCTTCGATAACAACTTTAGATCGGTAAATTTAACAATAAAAATTTACACCATTGTAATTTGAAAAGTTTACGAAATCGGTATTGTAAATGCTTAGGCTTGTTTTAAAACTGAATATTAAAAATTTGTCATATTACCAGGTATAAAACGGAAATCAACACCTAATTTCTAAATGTTGCAAAATGACACTTTTTATTTTCTAAATAAAATTAAATTGCATTATCTCAAGATTCTATTACCCTTTCCGTTGTCAAAGAGACGACGTACCTTGAAGGTCAATATTGAACTTATTAAATTTTTCTGTTCGTTTTTTCTCTCCTTTTGCTAGAGCTAGGCCTTCCAGAAATACATCCACGCTGCCTTGTCGAATTCCTGTAGTGGCGTTATAAAAATTAAAGTCATCCTTGTCACTGATTTCATACTGTTTAAATATATGAATATCCTGTGACAAAATGTAATGTTAACATACTATAACGTTGGATCTTTCAACACTAGACCCAAAATGTTACATACCTTGGGTCTGTTAATTTTACTTCTAACATATAAAACACCTTAAGTTTGTTAACTCTGACACTGTAATGTATATGATAAATGTGACGTCTTTCCTGTGTCTAACGTATAAAACACCTTAATTTTGTTAACTCTGACACTATAATATATATGACAAGTGTGTCTTTCTTTTCTGTGAGTAACGTTTAAAAAACAATGAATTTGTCAATTATGAGCGAATGACACGTGACAACTCTTGGGTTTTCGCAAGAAAACAAACTTAGGAGTTTATTTCTATTGGAATTCCTTCTACGATCGTAAATAAATAAAAAAAAAGATAGGAGACATTAAACTCTTTTTTTTTCTTCATACGAGTAAAAATGTTTCAACGGAATTTCTTAACTCAGAAAAATACGTTAAAACCCCGGTTTATATCAAAAAGCCCCCCCCCCCCCAGTGGCTCAGCGGTAAGTCTGAGGGCTTATAACACTTAAACCCGGATTTCGATACTGTGGTGAACACAAAACAGATAACCCATTGTGTAGCTTTGTGCTTAAAAGCAAACAAACAAACAATCGTCTCTATAAAATTAATTACAGGTCGACGAGATAAACACAAAAAACATGCAAAACGCGACCCTTTATCGTGTGTTGTAGTACATCTCTAAACTTTCACATTCTATCCGGAAAATGTAACCAAAATCTTTTAAAGAGTGTGATATAGACGTCAATGTGAAATGTTTTTTCATATAAGGGAAAAATTTAGGTCAGTTTCTCTAAATACAAATTGTTGACAATGACTCATTAGGTTTGTTTGTTTGGTAAACACAAAATTACCCAATGGGTTATCAGTGCCCACTACGGGTATCGAAAACTAGTTTTTATTGTTATAAGCCTTCACACTTATTGCTGATCCAATGGGGGGGGGGGGTGGACATCAGAAGTTGAATAGGAAAACTGTGATAGCTTTTTCGTCGAATAAACTAACCAAAATCATCGACAGCTTTGAACAACATCAATAATATTTGGAAGCATGATTAAACATAATCAAATAAAGCAATATAAATCGAAGGAAAAAATAAAAAAAGCTCTCTTTATAAAAAAACAACAAAAACCTTAGATTAATAGATATTTAGATGAAGAATTATTAAAATTTTTCGATACTTAGCTACTATTTTTCCATTATTATTGCAACATTGTTTATGACATAGTATCATTATTGATACTGTAAAGCGTAACATTTTTGAACTATTGTACGCCTTCATTCAGACATTTTCACCAAATGATGCTCAGTAAACCTAGAGAAAAGAAGTGGTTTTAAAAATGTTTTTTTAAACATGTTTACTTATTTATCTGTAAATAAAAATATTCTTGAGATTGACAAGTTCTTCCTATAATTTATTCAAACCTTGGATGTGTAAAGCCTAAACGTGTGACACATGACAAACCTTGGATGTGTAAAGCCTAAACTTGTGACACATGAGAAACCTTGGATATGTAAAGCCTAAACGTGTGACACATGACAAACCTTGGACGTGTAAAATCTAAACTTGTGACACACGACAAACCTTGGACGTGTAAAAGTCTAAACGTGTGACACATGACAAACCTTGGACGTGTGAAAGTCTAAACTTGTGACACATGACAAACCTTGGACGTGTAAAGTTTAAACGTGTGACACATGACAAACCTTGGACGTGTGAGGTCTAAACGTGTGACGCATGACAAATCTTGGATGTCTATTCCTTTTTTTATGAACCTTAGAAAAAATTAATAAACCTATATAGAAGCCAATGCAAACCTAGTTATAAATTTCATTCGAACCGTAATCCATGAGTATATATATATATATCATTATAGG